AAGTCTTTTCCAACCTCAAAGATTCAGTAATTTTATGATTCCATGATCTCTGTCCCCTGCGAGACTCATCAGCCCCTCACTACCTTCGTAATGTGTTTCCTTCCCTGCCCCACCACGCACACCAAGATGGGTGTGAGTGGAGATCTCTGGAGAGCCAGGAGCTTACGAAACAATATTTTACACCTCAAAACCCTGCTCACATGTCAGGGACAGAGCAAGCCCCAGTTGCCAAGGGACTAACACACTCTGAGTGTGGCCTAGAGCAATTATTTGTATTTCTTGGACAGCCAAAGCCATCCAAACCCCCATCGTGCCCAGGTGATAAAAGGAAAGCAGGCCAGGCATCGCTCGAGAGGCTCTTCTGTACACGCAGGGTACAGTAGGCTGTGCACAGAGGTGGCGGTACCTTCAGCTGGGAGCACACCGTGACTCTGCAATAGTGGATGAAGTCCAGCACTGCCACCGGTGTGGCTCCTAGGCTGAGCAGGACACTGAGGTCATCCACCAACAACACTGGGCCATTCCAGGAGTCGCTGCCGGTGGAAGTCAGGGACGTCTGGACAAAGTCAAACAAGGCCTTGAGGTTGGAAGCGCTCTCACTGGAAGAGAAGAAGGTCTCAAGGGGCTTGGCCCACACACGCGTTGTGTGTCCCACTCCCCGTCCACTGCCCCAACACAGGGAATGCCACTCTGTGCTATCACTGCTGTCCCCACTGTGGTGACAGTCACCAGCACAGGCTGGGCAGGGAATGGCTGGAGAGCAGCCCTGAGGAGAAGGACTTGGGGTGCTGGGGGCGAGGAGCTGGCCATGAGCCGGCCGTGTGCGCTGGCAGCCCAGAAAGCCAACCCCATCCTGGGCTGGATCCAGAGCAGCGTGGCCAGGGGGGCGAGGGAGGGGATTCTGCCCCTCTGCTCCGCTCTGGGGAGACCCCCCCTGCAGTTCTGCTCCAGCTCTGGGGCCCCCAACAGCAGGAGGACACGGAGCTGTTGGAGCGACACCAGAGGAGGCCCCGGAGATGCTCCAAGGGCTGGAGCCCCTCTGCCCTCGGGACAGGCTGGGGGAGTTGGGGGGTTCAGCCTGGAGAAGGGAAGCTCCGGGGAGACCATATTGTAGCCTTTCAGTACTTAAAGGAGGCTAATCATATCGTCAGGGATGTGGAGAAAGTGCAATAGGAATGAACCAAAAGCCAGCATGGTTAAAGCAGCACTGCTCTCTTGGATGAGAATAAACCTCATAATAATTAAAAAAAAGGAATAAAACTGCTTAGATGGAGTTTTATTTGACACAAACCTGTTGATCACTGAAATCCATTTTCTCTAGGCCCACAACAAGCTTGGCAGTGAGCACGGGGGCAGAAATCGCCCCGACGTGCTGGAGAAGGGGGACAGAATCGCTCTCTGCAGAGCAGTGAGAGAGGGCAGGACATGCACATCAACGCGCACGGCCCTGGCATTCCCCTTCACGTAAGTGTCCGGGTGTAACACACAGCTACCAAGCCCTCGAGGCCCGGAGGGAAGCCCAAAGGGTCTCAGGCATGGACCTGGTGGCTGCAGGGACAGGGAACACGAGGGGAGAAAACACTCTGTGCTGGGGGCCCACCAAGTGGTCAGGCTTACCTTATAAACTGGAGAGGCCTGGGCTGTCCTGACTGCTCCTCCTCCTCTCCAAAAAAGAGGTCAAGGCAGGACTTGAGGCCTTCCAAGAAGACAAGCTGTCCCCGCTCTTTGGCAGCTGTCAGACTGACTCCCTGGAGGGAGGAAAAACATGATGTTGCAGGGCAAACAGCTTTGGAGGAAGGGTGCAAACAGAACCCGGCGGATCGACAGACGATTTTTATCAAGCCTCATCTAAATGTGCTAATAACATCAATGCCTCAGTAACTCCTGCACAGGGGATGAAACAGGCGGTTCCGTTACAGGGTCTGGAGCACAATTCCTGTGGGGATTGGCTGAGGGAGCTGGGGGTTCAGCCTGGAGAAGAGGAGGCTCAGGGCAGACCTTATCGCTCCCCACAACTCCCTGAAAGGGGGGTGCAGAGAGGGGGTGGGTCTCTTCTCCCAAGGGACAAGCGATGGGACAAGAGGGAACGGCCTCAAGTGGTGCCAGGGGAGGTGGAGGTTGGCTGTGGGGAACAATTCCTTCCCGGAAAGGGCTGTCAGGCGTTGGAAGGGGCTGCCCAGGGAGGTGGTGGAGTCCCCATCCCGGGAGGGGTTTCAGAGCCGT